GTTGGCATTGCATCTTTAATGGGAAAGAACTTAATCCACAAACAAACGTATTCGGCTTAACCTGCCTCGCTTTATATAATCTGTGAATTTGAGAAGCTAAAGGGCTCAAACTTGAAATTTAATATAACTAGTTTGCTGTGCAGAATTCGTAATCATCATCCAAAGTTTTGTAAATTGTGGTATTAGTGGATAGCACCCAAACAAACTTGGTACTCGTTTCACCACTTTAACCGTAATTATGAATAGGTAACTTCATTAGCTATAAATAACAATGAAGGATAAACGATTTTTTAAACGGATAAAGTTTCTTGTAGCGTAAATTTATATGGGACAGACAGATATGGGATAACCGCGTGCAAAATTAATAGGCTTCTGTCTTGAATCACATCAATACGTCTTGTTTAAGCGTTATCCTACATACCTCAACGTTCTAATTTAATATGTTTGACAATATCTGGTATATTCTGTACAGTTACAAGTTGTAATGTGTACGCCACACACGCCTGTTCCACCGCTTTGTAAATTTTCCTCAGTATCATCCTCTTAAAAACACCCTAAAATGTTTAACGCTTCTTCACGCTGTTGGCGCATAATTAATGCACCTTTCTTCTTTTTGCTGTAGTGCGTATCCGTTTGTCTATTCCTATATCCTATATCCTAAAGATTTGTGGTTGTGTTAAACCACGTATATAGATTTTTCAGCCAGGAAATCCTTCGCTTTCCTGGTCCTCTTTTTCCTTCTACCTTTCCTTGTAGACTTAATTTTAGCAACCCATTTCTTCCGCTGTTCCTCATGTTCCGAGGTCGATTTTGGCTGTTTTATTTGGCTTCAGGATTCGACGATAAAGCCACCTTTCGAAAGCCTTTTTCTTGCAGATAGCGTCTGTGAGAGTCACAACTCAACTTCGTACAACAGTATAGGAAAGATATTCACATTTAACATTATTTTTTCGTTTTGCCGTATATACGACATTTTGACATTTTTTACGCTTTTCCTACATGTTCGATGCATTCGATGCATTATTAATGTATACTTCCCATTTTTGATGCGTTTGAAGCTTAATTGATGCATATTCATGGCTTTAGACACATAATCTGCACGTATTCGGCGCTTTTTACGATTTTACCACTTATTCGGCGTTTCTTCGGGCTCTTGGCATACAATTAACGCATGTTTAACATTTTTAAGTTTTTGTCGCATCCCATATTCGACGTTTTTAGTTTGCTACATATTAGACACACTGTGTGACGTTTAATTATTGTATATTCGCCGCTTTATATAGTATGTAGACGTTTTTTTAAGCGTTTGACACTTAAGTGGTGTGCACACTTGTCGTTTTAGATACATAATAAACTCATAATCGGTGCTTTGTAAACTTTTACCACATATTTGATGTTTGTTCGCGTTCGTGTCGCAACTAAACGCATATTTAACGTTTTGACGTATTCACCGCATATCAGTAATTTCTTAACGATTTTGTAGCACATTTAACGCATTTTTTATATTTCTTATGTATTTGCTGCAAATTTGATGCTTTCGATCCATAATTAACGAATATTCGTCATGTTTTAAAGCGGTTGACAATTAATGTACATTGGTCACTTGAGGCGCCTAATCGACTTGTAATTGATGCCTTATACGCTTCTACCACTTATTGGACGAGTAGTTGCGCTCTTGGAGCTAAATAAACACATATTCAACGTTTTTGTATCCATCTGCCTATTAATTATTTCTTAAGATTTTGACGCATAATTAATGCAATTTTAACGTGTCTTATGCATTTGCATGTCGATGCATAATTAAGCTATATTCGACATGTTTTGAAAGGTTTGACAGTTAATTGATTTATATTCATGGCATACGCTTTTACCACTTTTGATGTTTCTTATGTCTTTGCTGAAAATTTGATGATTCCGATCAATAATTATTGAATACTCGTCATGTTTTAAATCGGTTGACAATTAATGTATATTGGTCACTTGAGACGCCTAATCGACTTGTAATTGGTACCTTATACGCTTTTACCACTTATTTATTCAACATTTTTGTACTTACCTGCATATTACTCATTTTTTGAAGATTTTGACACCTAACCAACGCATTTTTACAGTTTCTTAGGCTTTTATTTGGACGCTTTTAATATATAATTAACACATATTATACATTTATTGGAGCTTTGATGACTAATCGATTTATATTCGTCACTTTAGGCTCATAGTCGATTTATTAGCGCTCTTAGCGGAAAAACCAACGCAATTTAGCTTTTACTTATGTGCTGCATATTAGACGCTTTTCGTACAAAATTAATGTTTACTTGACGTTTTTTAAGCTTTTAACGATGTTTTTGGGCTTTTACCGCATATTTGTCTTTTCTTTAAGTTTTTGGCGTATAATAAATACATTTTTGAGATTTCTTATCCATTTGTCAAACATTTTCAATGCTTTCGATGCATAATTAACGCATACTCGACATTTTTTAAAGCACTTAAGGATTAGTTGATTCATATGCATATTCGTCGCCTTTAGACGCAGAATAGACGTTTTTTACTATTTTGGGAGTTCAATCCTGGAAAATGGTCGGATAGTTATTTTGTTAGACTACTGTTACTGTTAAAATCAATGTAAGAAAATTTCCGTACGTATTTATCTTTGGAATGCTATTTTAGAGGTCTCGTATAAACTTGGATTGAACATTGCTCAATATACAGTGTGGAAACCACTTATGGAATAAAATTGTTTGTGTCCTTATTTTAAAAAATAATAAAAAACGTTGAGATACCTTAACTTTTAAATTTAAATGTACGCTTTTTAGACACAAATTTGAATGTACAGGGTGATCAATGCAAGTCTGGCATAGTGCATAATCTGTATTTTAAATGAAACACCCTGTATATTTTCATGTTTTTAAAAGCTCCTTGACAACCTGATTTCAACGAACTAATCATGTAGGGTCTATTATGAATAATACAAGGTGAAATTTTGAAATTAGGTAGTTTCTTCAAGACAATGAATTCATAGAATACCCGAGGTACTTAATTGATTGGATTACATTAAAATAAATGCTCAACATGTTCTCCACCTTGTTGTTGGCAATAACACAGTCTCCTATAAAACTCGTTCCGAACTTTGTTTAAAGTTTGAGATGAAGTATTCCGTATTTCTGTAGTTATCCTTACTTTTTGAGGTCTTCAATGATAGTTGATTGTGTTGCATATACTTTGTTCTTGAAATAACCCCACAAAAAAATCCAAAGGCGTAAGATCTGGCGACCTAGCTGACCGCTCACTAGTTCTCTTCATCAAATCCACTTATTGAAGAAGATTTCATTCAAGTAATTTCTCACCACTAAAGCATAATGGGGTATTACACCGTTCCGCTGGAACCAGACAGTTTCATGCGGTAGGGTCGGATCTATTGGATTGGGATATAAATTAGCCAACTAAGGAAAAACATCGTCTCTTAGCATGCTTAAATATTTTCCGCTGTCAAATTATCATCTATAAATATAGGACCAATAATATGATCTCCTATAATACCTGCCCAAACATTCAACTTTTGAGGATACTGAGTGTGTGTATCACATCCAATGAGGATTCTCCACTGACCAATATCTACAGTTTTGTCAGTTTACCTCTCCATTCAATCTAAATTTTGATTCATCAGAAAAAATAATTGTGCCAAGAGCTATTTCATTTGTTAATTTTATCCATCATTCTTTTGCAGAAATCCATTCTACGATCCGGATCGTCTTCTGTTATCTCCTGCACAAATATCAATTTATATGGATGAAGTTTTCTTCATGGAGAGACCTTAGGACAGTTGTGTGACTCACGTTATTTTGACTTGCAATTTGACGTGAACTTGACGTTGGAATCTCTGCGACACTTAACAAAATATCCACTTTCACTTCATCTTCAATGAAGTTCGATTTTCTTTTTAATGGTTTGGCATATATGAGTTCTCTAAATTGTGCATAAATTTTAGACACAGTACCTTGTGAAATATTAGGCACATGAGGATACCTCTGATTAAATAAGTTTACTACTTCAACTTGACTTCTACAATTCTCCCCGTAACCGATCATCATTAAAATCTCAATTCGGTGGGCCTTAGTTAAATATTTCATTTTTATTTTTGCAACTAATTAGTTTTTAACTAAGAATTTATTATTTTAATGTAAAATGTCAACAGCATGTCAACTGATTGATAACAATCCGCATTATTTACCGATTTAGTTTAATTAGCAGACTATTTATACAGTTTTTACCTATTCACGACAAAAAATGTTAACACGGTTACTAAACAGAATTTTTCCCCAATATACAGTGTACTGACACTTACAGTAGAAGTCTATTGTCTGTATTTAGCTAATTTAAAATAATATCATAACACGTGATAAATTATTAATTTCAAAATTTCACCTTGTATTATTCATTATAGACCCTACATGATATAGTTCATTGAAATCAGGTTATTAAAAGTATTTTAAAAACATAAAAATATACAGGGTGTTTCATTAAAAATAAGGATTATGGACTATGCCAGACGTGTGTGGATCACCCTGTACATTTAAACTTATGTTTAAAAAGCGCACATTTAAATTTAAAAGTTAACGTGTCCCAGAGTTTTTGATTATATTCTATAATAAGGACACAAACAATTTTATTCCATAAGTGGTTTCCACACTGTATGTTGTGTATCATATTTGTGTACAAACACATTGTGTATTTTACAAAATACACAATGTTATAGCGACCTTTATTTTTACTACCTATAAATGACATCATATAGAAAATATTCACACTTTTAAAAAATTATTTTAATAACGTTTTGCGGTCAGAAAAAAATATGTTTCCCTATTTTGTTAAAACCTCATTAAAAAAACTATGTTATGACTAAAAGCTAACATTACTAATTAACGAATTAACGATATTTCGTGCACCTACTGAACACCGGAAACACAAAGTGCTAAAATAAAAAATAAATCCAATAAACTCACGTCATTTGTCGAAACAAACCACGCCATTTCTGTGCTGGACGCTAATTGACCATTTACCAAACATTTAATTTCGCTTTTTGTCCACCTGTTGTATATATAAACGACTGCTAGCATGTACCACTGAAACAAAGGAAATCAAATATTAGTTTTACAAAAATAAATTTGAACGTTGCAACACAATAAATTTTCAAACATTATACTACTTGTTGCTCCTTTTATTATCCTAAAGGAACTGTTGTTCCTTTTATTACAAGAAAATCTTTTGGTACAGTACAACACGAAGAATGTTTAGAAATTCGCAAGAAGGTGGGCTTGGAAGGAAGAAATGTTCAAATAAATGTCATCATAGTCAAACCCATTGGTCGTTTTAGTATTACGACTTCTCCCAGTTTAGGTTTGAGAGAGTAGCATCATGTAAACAGCCTCATTGCTGTTTAAATTCACACTAAAACAACACTTAAAAAATCAGATATGAAAACTAATAGATGAGACAGTCCACTTTAAAAAAGAAGAACGTAATAACATGTCATATGAAAATTCTACCCCGTAAGCACTTACTCTCTTATTAATAAACACGGACTAACCTTGGACTAACATTAGTCCAAGGACTACACCAAGAACATTCATTTTTCGTATTAATAAACAGCGACTAGGGACAGACTAAGCTAAACCTTGGCTAGTCTCGGACTAACATTTAATCCGAGGTAGTGACAGGTTTAGAGAGTGAAAAACTTGACAATTGAAATTGAGTTGAGTTTCGTTTTGGTATTCATAACCTGAATTGTTTTTGATTATTCATATACATTATTTAATATTGGAAGATCATTTTATCAACGACTTAAGATTATTAGAACAACTTAATGACCATAGAAATCAGTGAAATTATATTCATCTAAGACATATTAAAATATATAAAATTTATTTAATAAAATATTTTACAATTCATTATGTTTATTAGTATTTTTTACATTTTCCCTTTGTAATAAAATATTTTTTAAAGTTTCCTCCTGAACTTTTATGAAGTTTAAACTTTTCAGATAAAAAAAATACTACAAAATATAAACAAACTGTTTCCAACAAACTCCAATTGAGTCCAACTAAAATTAACTCTACGTACTCCAACTTATGCTAACTGTCAAATTCTGAAATATTTGTCTTCTTTTTCACAAAATTCTCTCCATTTTTCTTCTTTTTCGCAATGGTTGCCAACATAAACTTGTTGTACCTAGGACTAAGGAAGGTTTAGTTAGTCTGAGCTTAGTCCATATTTATTAATAACATTCTGGAAATGAAGTTAGTACTCGCTTAATCTGGGACTAACTAGTCCGAGACTAACTTCGGACTAAGCAATTTTTATTAATAAGACTGTTAGTGTTTTAATTTCTCATATTCCATTCGCATAATCAATGAAAATGTTAGCAATTCTCACGAAATAACAGAAAAACTAATGAAAAATCAAACAAATAAAGAACTGGAAGTTACGAACAACAAGAAGAGAGAATTAGAGTATTTCATATATATTGTTAGGTACGACTGATAATCGAGTGTCAACTGTTGGTATTTGGAAACACCCTTAAAACACAGTGTCATAGGATGACACACAATAAAAAATATTATATACATTCAGTATATCAAAATGAAGTACTTGTTCCAAATTAAATAAACAATACCCATCATATACCTACATAAAAATCCCAATTATTATATAGAAAACGTGATAACTTACCTTCCTAGGTTGAAACTCGTATTTCACGCAGTGTTGGAATCCCTTTCCTTTTATTTTCATCGACGTAAGCACTAAACAATTTCCTACAAAATGAGCGGTGTATCCTACTCCTTTACTGGTCTTAAAGCTGAAAAGAAAGACACAAAAAAGATTATTTTTCGGACAATAACCATTTAAGTAATTCTTAAACACAACATCTTTTTTCTTAACATTTGTTAATTTTCGCAAATTTGGGATAAACAAATTAAGTTGATTTAAACACTATTCAAAAGTTATTAACAACTACTATTCCATTTTAAAATGTTTTTAACGTTAATTAATAAATAAATGCACCAAAAATCTGTTTTTGGTCAATCAACTAACTGATTTCTTTTCCATTTGATAAAATTTAATGGTTTTAACTTAACGAACTTAACGGTCTCCCACAAGGCTCAATTCTAAGTCCTTTATTGTTTGATGTTTATACTGCAGATCTGCATGGTTTGATGGATGAAAAATGCAAAATAATTCAATATGCAGACGATATATGTTTATATACCAGCCATAAATCCTATGAAGATTGTATGTTGAATCTAAAACTTAGCTTTAGTAATATAGATAAGTGGGTAAAACAAATGGGTTTTAGTATATCACAAGAAAAATCTTCGATTGTATGTTTCACTAGACGTAGACAAAAAGTCACAGGCAAATGCCAGATAGGTGATTATAATTTCCCCTTAGCAGAAGAGTATAAGTGCCTAGGCACGATCCTAGATAAAAAGCTCTTGTGGTCCAGTCATATAAAGTACGTAAAACAAAAGTGCGAGCGTGGAATTAACCTTCTGCGTTTCGTTTCTAAAAAAAGATAGGTACAGATCAAAATATCTCTTTAATGTTTTATAGATCCTACATACGATCCATTCTGGATTACGGTTGTATTCTTTACGGTTCAACATGCAAAACAAATTTATTAACTCTTGACAGAATACAATTTAAATCAATAAAAATTTGTCTAGGAGCTATGATGTCTTCACCAAACCAAGCAGTTCTAGCAGAAGCCCAGGAACCACCTTTATACATACGTAGGCAAATGTTAGCCAACAAACGTCTAATAACATACAGATCGTTTAATACAACTATGGTTCACAAAATAGGTTTACTTTTGACAGAAAATTTAACAAATCATTATTGGAGAATAAAAAATTCTCCTCCTCTTGCAGAATCTTTTATCGATAAGAATTAATTTCAATCTTATATACTACAGCTACCAAAATTTCCTTTTTACGTACAAGACTTTGAAGTTCTGATAGACAAACAGACAGACTCGAAACTTTGAAGTTCTGACAGACTCGAAACCTATATTTAGGTTTAATTGATCTCAATATTAGCCTACCCGTTAACATTAGCAATTAACATCAGAACTTAACGAAAATTCTAAAAATCAGCCATTTTCCACTAAAATTTTTAACAAATAAAAAATTACGAAAAAAAAAATTAAAAGAATTTTCATCTTTCGTTATTCTAGCGTTATAGAACCTAAAATAATTAGTTATAGTTACAGCGACTATCTTAAAAAGTCTTATTTCCGCGATCTAATAGTATTAGAACCACATTCATTGATTGATAGTAAAATATCATCCTGTGTCGGCCGTTAGTTCGTAGATTTAATCCATTTAGATATAAATATACTTTGTACGACTGCATTTTTTGATAATGTGATATCTTCTGTCGTTTTTAAGTTACATATTCCGCATTTCTGACCAACTCTGAAGCGACAGCACCGCAGAATTCCTATCCACTATTTACTACCAGGAAGACGACGACAATTCCAATAATTTTCATGCACGATGGCTATCAAACCAAATGGTCCGTTCAGTCCGTTTAACTGTATAAACTGTTAATTGCTGTTAGTTTCATCCTTGGCTGTACATTACCCACATGACCCGTGAAACATCCTCGCTAGATTGAGTCAATTAAAGCTCAACCAAGAAGGACTTAAACTGACTGATGCAAATGACCTGCCAGGAGCAATAAGTACAGTGAATATAATTGATATGGAATTGCAATATATATATCGGATGTTAGTGTAAAGTATAGATCGCAGTAAATTAATTAGAAGCTGAATATTTAAATAGACTAAACTGAAACAACTAAGTTTTGATCGATTGTATCGCTTACAAGGATTGTTCGATAACATTGGGCTTAACTTAGTTCTTTTTATACTAAATAGAAAAATAATATTAGTTTTTTTATATCACGTATGGTTTTCTTGTGTTAAATACAAATAACACATTTTTTACCTATTTTATGTTTTTGTTTGGAAACGAATTTATTTCATGCATGATCGAGACGCATGCAGCAACCTTGCGGTATACAGTAATATTAATAATATACATACATGTACACTTATTACTCTGCTCATCCGCATAAAGTAATTAAACATAAATATGGATACCATTTGGAAAACTTTTTTTATATTATTGTTACAAAAAAAGAGACAAAAATAAACATTTTTATATTTTGTGATCAAGAAACACAAAACCTTATCGTTTCTAAATGTTTCCTAACAATTTGGCAATTTAAACACGTAATGCATGTGCATTTATTTTGCAAATGGGAACGTACATAACTAGTGTAACTAACCTAAAATTATTACTGGACATCCATAATTATTATTTTTTCCCTCATTCTACTAATGCTTCGACATCTCGTCCAAGGGGAGTTAGAAGAGGGCCTTTTTTACGAGGCATATAGTTTCTCCGAAGAAGCAACATTTTCATCAAATGGGACAGTCTCGTCACAACAGTGTTGCTAGTGGTCTGACGAAAATCCAAGTTTTAGTATTAAGTCTGGTGACCAGTATTCATTCAAGACGAACGTGTGGTGTGGCAATTTACAGTACAGGTTAATAGGACCTTTGTTCCACCACGCTATGAACACCGAACGTTATTTGTTTTTTCCGAAGTTCAGGTTTTAGAAACTCATATCAATGATTTTCTGGACGAACCACCCTTATAAGAACGTCAATGTATTTATTTCCAACAAGACGGTGCCACATGCAACAGTACATTGAATGTTAGGGAATCTCTTGAACATATGTTTCATGGAAAAGTTATTCACAGATATTCTGATCTATTTTGGCCTGCTAGATCCCTTATCTAACCCCCTTGTTTTATTTTAACTTTATTTCAACTTAATATTAATCATGTAAGAAATAACTTGCCTTTATCAAGGCAAGTCACCAAAGAAGACAACCTGATGGTTTATTTCAACGGAGAATTTTCGTCATGTAAGAAATAACTCGTCTTTCTCAAGACGAGTCATCAGGAGACAAAACATTTTGAAGTCCATACCCTGAAAATGGACAAAAGTAGAGGAGCTCACGATGTTTCCGAAGCCCCTCTACAGAGCACACGGTGGTACAGAAGGTGGCAAGACCCTTTCCATTTACCCCGAGGTGACACCAGAGACTATGGGCTTTAATTGATAATGAAGGAGAATATACAAAATATTAGCAATCATTTTTTAATGCGTTGAGTTTGTTTTCTTTATTAATTTTCTTGTTTTAAAGTGTGCATAATTTCAGCTGTGACATCAAAATCATACATAAAATATTTAATTATTTATGTTACTTAAGCATGGTATGTTTGAAACCAAAAAATAAATTATGCTATTTTAGACGACTATACAAAAACCTCAAGGTGATGGAAGACTGTCAGTTATAGATCCGGAAGTTTTTGTCAAAGAACGATGACACTTTTCGGTTTAAGGAGAAAAGTTATATTTAAAATATGAAATTTATGTTAACATGAATTTTAGACAATTTATTGTTATGTTATTGGTTTTTATATATAAAAAATAAACTATTAATAGTTTTTATGGTTTTTTTTATAATATATATTTATATATAAGACAAGATGATATTTTTAACGATTTCGACGATGGGTATTTGCGTTAATCCCTATATACGCTTTTATCTCAAGTATATTATTATATTATAACTAAATAAATAAATAATCACAAAACTTTTAATCGGTAGCAATTAAAAATGTATTATTTCTATTTCGTCCTAAAAGAAAAAAGTAATTATATCTACTCACCAGTACAAATACGGTTTTTCTCGTTCGATGTTGACAGAATTGATCGGGTCCAGTCGAAACCAAGTCGTGAAGGTGAAGCCGTTTTCGTAGGGCCATTTCGCCAAAGGAGGTAACACGATCGCCTGAAAAACGTGATCAATCAATCTAAAAACAAATCGCAAAAGAAACATAATAACAAGGAAAAACAAAATCAATCATTTTCCCAGAAAAACAAGGCGTTAGAACAAATCAAGGAAATATGAAGTTTATTTTCTGAGGATAATCTGAGAGTTTCGCTATGCAGGAAATATTTATATTCCATATTTAAGAAATGAAAATACCGATTTTTGTCATGTACTGTTTTTGTACGTGACAAATGAAAGAATGGAAAAAGTATTTTTAAAGTGTATAAAAATTGTAATTCCTAGCTGAGCGCTTTCGGCTTACAAAGCCATCCTCAGCCAAATTGTTCTTTTTTTTTATAAAAGTTAAAAAGTTACAAACACTTCTTTAGAAAAACAAAAAAAAAAGATAGAACATTGGACTCCACAAAAAACACATTAAAAAATTTGTTTATGGTACGGGTATAAGAACCCGACTATTTGGTTGTAGCTGAAGCACGAGACAGAATAAGTAGAATCAAACGATAGCCATTTAAAACTATTTTTTAAAGGACCGGCATTCGATGCTACTCATTCTGTCTACCGTTTCAATTCCAACAAATGGTCGAGTTCTTGCACCCGTACCATAAACAAATGTTTTAAATGTTTTTTGTACAGTCCAATGTTTCGTCTTTTATATGATTTTTAAAGACTTTTTTTTAAACTTTTTAACTGTCATATAAAAAGAGGAAAAAATAGGAATTTCCCCACCAAATCATAAAGTTGGCCAAAAGATTAACGTTACTAATAGTTCAGGCGATATCTGTTCCAAAACACCCTTATATAGTCAACCGTATATAATCCTAATTTTTTTGCTTTAATCGATTCGAAAGCTTATTAAAAATGATAATTTCACTCTGCGGACACTTCAAAATGTGGGCTACTTTTTTTATTAAAAAAATTTTGAAAAAAATTAGAATTTAATTTATTTTTTGGCTGCCTGGCAGCGCCGTCCTAGTAGTCTTCCTATGAGCGAACGGACGAAACGAGTAACGCTAGGGTGTTGTATCCTACCAGTCGTAAGAAGCAATCAATGGGACGTCCATCTGTCTAGCAGCGCCGTGTCCGTGTCCAAGTAGTTGCATGCGAGCGAACGGACAAACCGAATGCCGCTACGCTATAACGCACACACGGACGGTCGATAAAAGTTCGATTGATCAAATTCCTTTGGTGGCGCGAAGAAACAATGTAAAGGTCGATTCACACACATCAGTCACGTCACAGTCACGGTACCGAACTGGTCCTGTTTGGTCACAGAACTATCAACTATCTGACAGCTGGCAAACTGTTCGTCAACTGATGAGTGTGAATGCCGGCGCCATATTTGTATTAAAAAATATTTTGTATGACGGATTGTTCGATTCCGCGCAATCACTGTGACGAGATGGTGACGAGACGTGACTGATGTGTCTGAATCGACCTTTAGCGTGCATACGTACCGGTCGCCAAACGGCACGGCATCGATGCCGTATAACGTTCGATCACTGCCACTGCATGGACAGCTGCCGTAATCGTTGCTGTTCTTTCAAGGCAAACGGTACAAAATGAAAGCGCGAAAAGTAGTCATAACTGCAGACTAGAGGACTAGTTACGTTTTTAGACACTACTGAAGCTAGGTCGCTCCTTGTTGCTACGTAGTTTTGTGTTGTTTATTGTGGTTTTGTGTGCTCCACCTAACAAACATTTTAAGATCAACAAAAGTCATCGAATAAATGTCGTGCAGAGTGAGTGTAAAGTATCATCAACAAAAGTACGATCGAACTTTTATTGACCGTCCAAATTCGATGTGTATGCCTAGCCCTAGGCATACCAGTTGTAAGAGTCAACCAATGGGATGGAACTATATACAGTATTGGAAGATTCAAAACGGAACATACGAATTATTAATACAATTATTAAGATCTCCTGACCTGCAATTACCCAGTGTAAATTTCAATATAACGTCGCGATGTCTTATAATTAATTCATTTGTTCGACTGGACTCCTTCTCCAGTCGATATTTTTCGACTGCTGCGCACGTGCGCACCTTAATAATACGACTAATAGTTGATTGTGTCGGTATTGGCCTATCTTCATACGCACAAGTAAATAAATTTATAATATCACGGTACGAGTTGCCCCCATAATACCATTTTAAAATTTGTACTTTTTCTTTGTTTGTATACATGGTTTATGGTTAGAAACACTACTTTTATTTCAGCTTATGGCTTTATAATGAGAAGCAAAGCAAAGGGCATGTATTTGTTTTGCTCGGCCAGTGATGTTCCTTGGGACTGTTGCCAAATCGATAGATACCTTCGGCAAAAATCTGTAGATTTTGATGTATCATATAACATCCTTTTAAATTTTAAATTATCAACAATATTTGGAATAATAAATATATTAAACTATACACTAACCAATTCAAATAATATCTAATGAACACAAAAAAATTGTTATTAATAAAACATTGTTATTATCTGCACAAAAACACAGAAAATCAGTGGACGATAGACAACAGTGTCGACGTACACCTGTCGAATACGCTTATAGAAATCGCCAAGGAGTAGCAATCCAGTCGAACAAATGAATTAATTATAAGACATCGCGACGTTTTATTGAAATTTACACTGGATAATTGCAGGTCAGGGGACCTTAATAATTGTATTAATAATTCGTATGTTCCGTTTTGAATCTTCCAATACTGTATAGTGAGCCGTCGTTTTGAGGTGTCCGTATCGGAGCAACGAATGCGGGGCGTGAACTAGTACCTACGTCCCGATCGTAGCAACAGTAACATGGCCGTCATTTGATGCGTCGGTAGTCAGAATGGTGGCTATTCGAAACAAGACGAGCCCATAAGTCGCACTGATCAACAGGTTACGTTCCTGGTATCCGAGAGGAGCTCATGTGAGACCACTCTACGTTCGTTCCACATAACCTCTGCAGGAGGTTTTGCAAGTTCAATACAATCAGGCCCAGTCTAAACGTGCGCTTGTGAGACGTGCCTGTAGCAGAGACGAATGGTGGAGAAGTAAATTCCTCGGCAGCGACCTGTAATACGTACTTGGTGGACTATTATTCCACGGCGTGCACTTGTTCGCCCTTACAGGGATCACGGGCAGTTGGACGAACCGCAACACAAGTATTGCGAGGGGGTGGAACTCCACGTTATGGCTATCGTGCTATCCTCACTGAAGACGGACTCGCAGGGGCATTGGTTCTTCCAGAATGTGGGTATATGGGTATGGGGTCAAGGTTTTATTGGGTTTTTGGTGCTTTGAATCACGAAGCTGCTAGAAAACTTTGTGGTAGTTATGTTGAACCAAGTACGTAGATTTTTTCAGCCAGAAACTCCCTCGCTCTCTTCGTCCACGTTTTCCTTCTACTTTTCCTTATAGAATTAATTGCAGCAAGCGATATCTTTCGCTGTTCCTCATGATGTGACCCAGGTATTCGATTTTGGCTGTTTTTATTGTAGTCAATAGCTCTTTTTCTTGCTCTATTCTTAATAAAACGTCTTGATTAGTAACGTTGTCGGTATAACATATCTTCACGATAAAACCATATTTCGAAAGCCATACTTTCAATTTTCTTACAGGTAGTGTCTGTGAGAGTCTACGACTTAACTCACTCGTGTAGGCCTAGGAGTTGAGTCATATACTTTACAGTATAGGAAATATGTAACATCGTAGTAACCTGATTTTTATGGGTTCTGATAAATTATGACATTTGAAAAGCTTAGCCATTTTTTGAAATGCAGAATTTGCTTTCTCTATCGTACATTTATTTGGTTTCTAGGGAATAATCGCAATTTTCATTGACGTTCGTAGCAAGGTAGGTGTATGTTTTTACTATTTCTATTGGTTGACCATTCGTACTGTTTCTTCCAAATGCTGTTCAATCTTTTGTTTTTTTGTACATTTTGTTTTCTTAATGTTTGGTGAAAGTCCATATCTTGTACAGCAGTTAAGGCTATTTTGTAAGTTTCATGGTAGTATTTAGCAAATTGATATCTCTGTAGTTTTCTGTTTGTTTCTTATAGCGCTTTTTGAATAATAATTTTAAGTTTTTCTTTTGGTATTTCATTTTGTCTTATAATCTTGTTATGATGTCAGTTAATCCGTTCTTGTCTCTCCACCATATTTCAAACTTTTAACTAATTTTCTAAACTTTAGCCTATTATAGAGAATGGCAAAATTGAAGGTATGAGAGGTTAGGCAGAAAAATCAATCAGTCAGCAACCATCATATCGGATGATGGTTGGACCATCTCTCGGTGGACAACGGATCGTATTCATACTGATTTAGTCAGTCTGTTCTTTCTTTTTTCACATGGAATAGACGTGATTTCAATTCTAGAATTTAAGTTACCTCCTAATCACAAAGTTTTTTATTGAATTTCCTAGGTATTTTTTGAAATTATTTGTATACATCTATTGTCTTTCTTTTTACCTTCTTCTGGAACATAAACGTTAATAACTAATATACAACCTTTATCAATCCTGTTACTATAGCGGTCCGATAAGGACTTATCGAGTCTCACAAAAAAAAAAAAATAAAATTTTGGGAAACTAACCCGCCTGAAAAATATGTTTTCTCGAGGTCTGCAAAGTAAAGTTCCGTGGCTGCAATGTCCTCCTCATTCGACTTAAATTTTTGCTCGGCGAGTGCCTTCTCTTCGCCAAATGCGATCGTTTATTCTGCAATTGGCTCAATAGCTCCGCCTAGTAGAGACCTGGGCCCGTTTTGCCCTTCTCCAGGTAGTCAATGTAGATCACCCCATGTGAATTAAAGAAAATGGTGGATATGTGCTTTCCGGCCGATAGGACAGTTTTCGCTTTCGGAGAACGTTCGCCGGGTGCCGTCCACTATTTAGACTGTTCCTTGGTCTCTGGTGTATACAAATGGATCTATGTTTCGTCGACGGTTACGAAACGACGTAAAAACTCCTTCGGATTTCGCTTAAATAGCGTCAAACAGTGCTCTGAAGTGATCCTGTGGTTACTTTTGTTGTCCAGAATGAACAAACGCGGCACCCATTACACCGACAGCTTTCTCATGCCCAAAATTCCGTGTAGGATATGACATAAACGGTCTTTTGAGAAGCCTAATATGTCAATTATCTCTCACACCTTCATTCGGCGGTCTGCCAATACGAGATCGTGGATCTTTGTCACGTTATTCTCCGTGGTATCCATCTTCAGGGAACCGAGTCGTGGCTCATCAAAAACCGACGTGCGACCACGTTGAAACTCATTAGGACGAAGGAGAAGAGTCACCATACACAGCATCCGATCACTCTTTTATTTCGCTGATGATTTCTCTTGCAAAATCAAGAATCGAATAACCGACCGATATTGCTCTTTTTCCAGTTTTCTAAAATCAGCGAGACGTCCGCTTTGACAAGGGTCCAAAACAAAATTACCGAGTATAATTCGGCTGATGTTTTGACATTAGCCGTCTACTAGAATGTAACACACATCAAAATAATCTAGGGACAAAAACAAAATGCGAGATTACAGAAGGATTTCAAATAATTTATTTCAAATATTTTTAATAAAAAGTTATAAACAAGTGTCCCTAATATAAAATAAACATTATTTCTTAGAACCCCTCAACTATTGTTGCCCCTCAACTTCTAAAAAAGTAGTGTTTAGGTAAATTAAGTACAGTGCATGACCACCCCGGTTGTTGATTACTGTTCTACATCTGTGAGTTCTACAAACTCATGATCAGTTGGCCAATGTCTTGCTGCGATATTCTGTTCTACTTCATTGAGAGGCCCTCAAATGGTTGCTGTCTTGTATTGAACGCAATATTTTGTTTTAAAATGTGTCTACTAAATATGTCCCAAATATGCTCAATTGAGTTTAAATCTGGCGATTGTGGAGGTCATGGTAAAACCTTGATTTCATTATCTTCGAGGAATTTTCGCACGACCCTGGCGGTGTCCATGACTCTTGTCCCTCTTATATCTGGTGCATATCCAAATCGGAACTCGTCTATGAACAAAGAAGAGGCTCACTCACGTCTAACTCAATTTGCGTGTTCTTGTGCCCACTGAAGTCTATGAGCGCGATTTCTTCTGGATAACACAGGCACCCTCACAGGTTTTCGAGCATTTAACCCTACTTCATGCAGTCTATTTCTAATGGTTTGGCACCTACAAACACCTGATGGATCTCTTGCAGCTGATTTGTAATTATGATGCAGTTACAGTGCGATCTTGCAAAGCCTGCAACCTAATAAAACGGTATTCAATTAGGTTGGTTATCCTTGTACGGTATGTGTGACGTCAACAACATCACCAGTTTCTTGACGCCCTAACCACGAAGGATTAATGACACTTCCGTTCGTATGGAGAATCTTATCAAGGTTGACTTCTGCCAACTTGAAGCATCCCGATAGCACGCCACTGCATTTCGCGATTTAAATGATGTCTCTTCATTATTCGCAAATATAAAACTAAATAAAAATCCACATAGACATCGAAAATCAAGTAGCAATAAAGAAATATTACTTTTTATCTGATAGCCAAAAACAATAAAAAAGATTAAAAACATAAATAGGTGTCCCCTATAGTGGCGCCATTGGGGGGGGGGGGGTAAATACTTATCAGACAACCTACGTACTATCCGGCTTATTATGCATAAGGAACCTTTAGTTCTGGTATATTATTATAGCTACACCGCAGTAAGCTCCTTTGTCTTGATGCTCAAATTCTTAGTTCCTTGAAGCAAATCATCCTATTTAATATTTTAAACAAATATCTCATTTTTGCACTACAATTTAGACCATTATTTATGTTCCTTTCCTAAAAGTAACTTTTGGTAAAATATTAAATGAATCCATGACACCACTGCTCGTAAGAGCGCGAATTGGCCCAGTTCTAGCACGCTTTTTTCATTTCACTTCTGTGATTTAAAGCTCTGCGAAACATAATTCACTGAAAGTGTTAAGACTATAAATTTGCAGTAGCAAATAAGCCCGCTTCCATAAGCATTCTTGTACTTTTTGCTTTTTGAGTGTAGTACACAAAGAGAGTGGAAATACAAGTTCATTTCTTTGTTTGTGTTTAGTCGTTCTCCGGAACGAATGGCGTTTTAAAATAAAATTCACAGCTCGGGCGGTAAAGGTGTTGCCACAAACAAATGCAAACACCGTTAAGAAGTTCTTTGGTAATTTGGAAAGCGTTTAAAACGAGTAGGGGGTTTATTTCGACGGAAAAAGACATTTCGGGCTATCAAAATTAAAAATTTGTGTTTGCAAAGAGCAACGCGATGTTTCAAAGGGAAATGTTCTGTTTATTGGACGAATGAATAACAAAATCGGGGATGGGAGAGTTATAAACGGAACTTAGTTAAATAATTTTAAAATCAAAATATACAAATGGTTGTAGAAACGTAGTTTATAAAAGAAAAAACATATACATGCCATATTATCGGGCATATTCCACTAAATAGAAGACTTAGAGAGGTGGAGCTGCTTTAACACATGAAATAATGAAATTAAAGGATAAAGATGGAAATATCATCACTAACAGTAACAGGGATGAATTACTAAGGGTAGTAGAAGATTTCCATACAGAATTATACAGAAGTCAACAAAATTATTACGAATAACTAACAGAAAAGCTAGAAAAAGATTAGTCAACCAATGATCGGAATTGATGCCTGATATATCCAGATGGTGGCGTAGGATTTATGGTAAATAAAAACACACAAAGAATATACTCACAATTAAAAGCATAAGTGATAGAGTTATATATCTTATCTACAAAGTAAACGAAAAAATTCGGTTAAAGATCATCCAGGTATATGCACCTACTAGTACCCATACAGATGAAGAAGTAGAATGGTTCTACGATGACGTTAACACTGCCATACAAGAGACAAACACCAACTTTACTATACTGATGGGAGACCTAAACGCCAAAATAGGCCACAAGCAAGATGATTGGAGTTTGTAATTGGACCTCACGGATATGGCGATAGAAACGAAAGGGGTCAGACTCTCATAGAATTTCTTCTGCAACACAGGCTATATGTCATGAATACGCACTTTAAAAAAAGCGACCAAAGAAAGTGGACTTGGCAATCACCAAATGGTTTAAACAAGAACGAAATTGATTTTATATTTACTAACAAAAAAGACGCTGTTCAAGACGTAACTGTATTAAATCAATTTTCAACTGGAAGTGACCATAGAATGGTTAGGGCGAAGATAGTCTTAAATATACAGAAGGAAAGAAGACATATGGTAACAACAAGGACTAATAATGTTACATTCACTGCGATTACTAACACCAGGGCATACCAGGAAGAAATAGAGAGTAATCTACAGAAAGACCTGCAAGATGAAACCAGTATTGAACAGCTTAACGAAAAATTGGTAGAAGCCCTGAAGAAGTCACAGAAGAAGTGCCAAGCCAAGCAATCAACAAAAAATGAAAAACTCACAGAAGACACAAGAAACCTAATGCAAAAAAGAAGGAAATGAAAGAAAAGCATACAACGAACATTGCAGAGCTAAGGAATTTAAACAAAACCATTTCAAAAGCCATTAGGAAAGACATAAGGAACTTTAACACTAAGGAAATAACTGATACCGTAGAACAAAACAAAAGCCTAAAAGTTCTAAAACGAAAGTTGAAAACAGGAACGAGGAATATTTATAAGTTAAAAAATAATCAAGGACATGTCATACATGAACAACAAGAGATACTAAAAATCATCGAAGAGTACTATAGAACATTATATAGTCGAGATGATCACATTCCCGAAGTAGAAATTCCAGCAATACTAAATCAAGGGTCAGAGGAACTTCCAGATATAACCGAAGAGGAAATTAAGTCAGCATTAAAAGGTATGAAGAACAACAAAACACCTGGAGAAGATGGCATTGTAAGTGAAATGATAAAACTAGGAGGCGAATGCGTCATAAAGGCTTTAAAAACCCTTTATAATGCCTGCCTCTTTGAAGGAAATACGCCAGAAAAATGGAATAATGCCATTATGATAATATTGCATAAAAAAGGAGATGTAACAGAAATTGGCAACTACAGACCTATCAACTTATTATCTCATTTATATAAACTCTTTATGAGAATAATTACTAACAGACTGGGACCTAAGCTAGATTTTCATCAACCTCTAGAGCAGGCCGGATTTAGGAGTGGCTTTGGAACAAATGACCACCTACAAGTAATAAAATCCTTGATAGAGAAAGTTATAGAATACAACAAGCCATTGATATTAATATTTGTAGACTTTGAGAAAGCATTTGACTCAGTCCAGCATAGCTCCATGTTAAGAGCTCTTACAGAGTGCAGTATTGACCATAGGTACACAACTCTTCTTCGAAATATATATGATAGCGCAACAGCTGCTGTAAAAATGTACTATGGTGACACAGACACATTTCCCTTGGAGAAAGGTATTAGGCAAGGAGACACTATCTCTCCTAAACTATTCACCGCCCTATTACAGAGTGCTATGAGAAAAAATAATTGGGAAAATATTGGATTAAATATAAATGGGGAATTTTTGAACAACTTGAGGTTTGCAGACGACATAGTCCTTATTGCAGATCAGGTAGATCATGCATGCCAACTTCTTCAAGACCTTCAGAGCTCTTGTGCACGAGTTGGCCTTAAAATTAATTTTTCCAAAACACAATACATGACCAACCTGGTACTGGCAAAAAACATTTCCACTAATGGCACGCAAATTGAACAAGTGTATTCCTATAAGTATCTGGGCCACGAGATTAAATTGGGAAGAGACAATCAAACAACAGAGTTAAAAAGGAGAATAGGACTGGCATGGGCAGCTTACGGAAAACTGAGGGAAGTCTTTAAATCAGCTATTCCCATGTGCTTGAAGAGAAAAGTTTTTGATCAGTGTGTACTTCCAGTTCTGACATATGGAGCAGAAACATTGACACTTACCAGAAAAGTAATTAATAAGATACAAGTGGCACAGAGAGCGATGGAGAGGTCAATGTTGGGCGTATCACTCAGGGACAGAGTTTCGAGTCAGATAGTAAGGAGAAAAAACTGGTGTGACGGACGCAGTTGAAAGAATTACAACCCTGAAATGGAACTGGGCAGGACATGTTGCTAGGGTCAGAGATGGAAGATGGACAAAGAAAATTTTAGAGTGGAGGCCTAGACACGATGCTTATCGTAGTCGAGGAC